CCGAGCATTCTCAAAGGGTTTTATGAACCAGAAAGCACCCAGGAGATAGCACTGAGTGAGGATCAACATAACACACTTGTCCTCAATCTAATGAGACAGCCCACAGACACCAAAGACTACATCTCCTTGACCACAGGCCCTGGTGACTGGGCATGGTGCCGGCTTATAGTAGTGCTGGGTAAATGTTTGCTGAATGAATGGATTAGCACACATTGGCCTCGGGGTGCTGAAGCAGACCTAGGTACACGCCTACCCTGGAGTGGAAGACAGCAGGTGTGTGGTAGCAACAGTGAGGCATGGCCTCTTTCTGCCTATTCCTGGGAGACTTTCTTGGAGTGAGGGCTCTGCCTGACATTCTTCCAGTGATTTTAAACAAGTGGTCCCTGTTCATAATGTCCCCAGAAAGGGACATTTCCCAGAAGCTATGCCTATGTGAGGCAACCCCACCCCACCCCCACCAAGGCACACCTTGGGGGCTATGTCTCCTATGTGGCCCTGATCATCACCCCCTCTACACACAGGGCGTGAAGGAGTTCAAGTGTGAGGTGTGTGGACGGGAGTTCACCCTGCAGGCCAACATGAAGCGGCATATGCTGATCCACACCAGTGTCCGGCCCTACCAGTGTCACATCTGCTTCAAGACCTTCGTGCAGAAGCAGACCCTCAAGACCCACATGATCGTGCACTCACCCGTGAAGCCATTCAAGTGCAAGGTACCTGGCTGGCAGCCCCAGGCTGGGCCTCTGCACGGGCAGCCTGGCTGGTGCAGGCGAGAGGAGCCCTGGCTGGGGAAACTTAGCCTGGCTTTGGGGTTCTGGGTAGGCAGGTGGAGGTTCAGGTCCTAAAAGCTGTGGACGTGTTTCTTGAAAACTGGGAGGGGGTGAAGGTCATGGAGCAGCCATAGAAAAAGGGCAGGGCCTGGGCTTCAGAGTAGTGGGAGTCCTGGGGCTAAGCCTCTGGTCAGTCCAGCTCAGAGAGGGGAGCAGTGGCCAGTAGGGTGGCTTGTTTCTCTGCTTCTTAAGAAGGACAAGGGGAGTACTGTCCATAGTGAGAACATGGAGGTGGGAGTAGCGGGGAGTTGGGGAAGGTGGGCCTTGCACAGGCTGACCACAGCCACTGTGTTCAGGTGTGCGGGAAGTCCTTCAACCGTATGTACAACCTGCTGGGCCACATGCACCTGCATGCAGGCAGCAAGCCCTTCAAGTGCCCCTACTGCTCCAGCAAGTTCAACCTCAAGGGCAACCTGAGCCGGCACATGAAAGTCAAGCATGGCGTCATGGACATCGGCCTGGACAGCCAAGGTGGGTGGGCCACGTGCAATGGGCAGAGAAGGACTGTTACCAACATGGCACCCTCAGGAGTTGTCTGTCTGGTTAAGGGAGTGGGGAGGCTGGCCAAGGCTGGGGATATGCTGGGGTGGGCCCAGACCTGGAGAAGAGTGGCCCTGGAAGGCCATCATGGCAATGATGATGGGCTGGTTGTGTCTTCTTCAGAGGACTTCAGTGGGCTCACATACAATAATAAAAATCGCAACTAAGATGTATGGAGTGCTGTGTGCCAGGCCTTTATTAACTCATGTGATCCTCAAAGCAAGGTTAGCTCTGTTACTATCCCCATTTTATAGGTGCAGAAACTGAAGGATGGGAAGTAGGTAACTCATGTGAGATCACAATATATAGGTGGTGACAGACCCTTTATCTTATTACCATGAGATAAGATTTAAAATAAGTGTATGGGGGAAAGTATCAAAAGGGAAAAAATGGCAGCTGGAAAGATAAGGAAGAACCCAGTGAGATCACCATTCCACATACACTGTGGGAGATCAGATGGACATGCAGAGGACAGTGCTGAGCTCCCCAGCCACCAAGGCAAAGAGTGGAATACAGTCAGTCATGTTCCTCAGAGTGCCTGCCAGAGAGACAGTAGCCCACATACTCAGGAGAGGGCCAGATGGTCCTGTCACTAAGATATCTGGGAGAAATTTCCAGACAGGATCCTGTATACCTCAGCAGTTGGCAGAGGTCTAAAACAGGGATGAGGATGTTTGCTATAGAACATCCTCAAATGTTAGCAATAGCCTTTCCTGCCAGCACTGGCCAGTATTAAAAGCACTTATGTCAGGCCACTGTGGGAAGGGGAGGGAGCCTATAGCACTTCAGGAAGGCTCTTTCTCCAGTTGGGAGCTATTTTTCGTTTTTTTCTTTTTTTTTTTTTTTCTTTTTTTTTTTTTTGAGACACTCTCACTCTGTCTCCCAGGCTAAAGTGCCATGGCACCATAGCTCACAACCACCTCAAACTCCTGGGCTCAAGCACTCTTCCTGCCTCAACCTCCCAAGTAGCTGGGACTATAGGTGCCCACCACAGCACCTGACTAATAATGTGGAGCTATTTCTGGTGCTCCTGAGACATGCTAGCTGAGACCGAGCCTTGGTAGTACCCAGGTGAGCTGACTAGCCAGGTGCTGGGACATGGCCACCATAGCCCTTTGGCTTTGGGTAGCTGACCACATGGCCTGGTTCTCTGGCACAGTTGTCTCAGTTGTTTTTTTGTCTTTGGTAGAGGGGGACCCTGTTGGCTGCCCTGAGACTCAAAATGTGGTAGGACAGCATCATGGGCATCACCCATGGGGTCTTGCTAAAAAAGCAGCCTCTCAGCCCCATCCCAGACCTGCTGAGTCAGAATCTTCATTTCAAAAAGATCCTGAGGTCATTTGTTGCTCTTTAAAGTTTGAGAAGCATTGAACTAGAGTAGCCCTCAGAACCTCTTAAAGGGCTTATGGGCCTTACTGGGCCCCACCCCCACAGTTTTTGATCCCATAGGCCTGTGGTGGGCTCTGAGAATTTGCATTCTCAATAAGTTCCCAGGACCTCACTTGGACTGCCTTAGATGCCCATTCCAGAGGACTGGCTGCACCTTGGCAGTCACCTGAGGAATTTGTGAAATGCTAATGCCTGAGTCTGGACTCCAGAGATTTGAAGGTGATCTGGGATCAGGATTTTTTTTTGTATGTACCTTGGGCGATTCCAAGTGCAGTAGACTTTGAGGACTGCTGCTCCCAAGGACCTGCCACATAGCTTAGCCACCAGAAGGGACCAGAAAAGACCTTACCATTTTGGAAATAACCAGGGCCATCAAGAGACTGTCAGTGTTAACAGCTTTCTTAGAATTTGTCTAGCAGGTTTTCCAGTTCTTACCAGAAAATCCCCTTGAGGGAAAAAGAAAAGACTGTCTTTGTACACCTCATTTCCAGGGATCATTAAGGCACAAGCTTTTTCCATATGTGGTCAGTAACTAGGCATGCTTAGACTTGCTTTCTTCCTGCCTGTACCAGGTGACAGAGCGAAGCAGTGATTGGCACTGGGATGGCTGGGGCTCCTCTCGAACACGGTAGGACCTCTGTAAGTGACCACCCCAGGGACTGTAACAAACTGTCAGCATAGGGAGGTGGTCAACATAGCGAACTAGACGTGTTGTACTGATCGTACATGTGGTGTATGTCCAGTCCATAAAAATTAGGTCAACTTGGCTGGGTACAGTGGCTAACACCTGTAATCTCAGGACTCTGGGAGGCTGAGCCCAGTAGATCCCTTGAGCTGAGGAGTTCAAGACACCCTGAGCAAGAGCAAGAGCCCATCTCTACTAAAAACATAGAAAAACTAGTCGGGCATTGTGGCAGATGCCTGTAGTCTCAGCTACTCAGGAGGCTGAGGCAGGAGGCTCACTTGAACCCAAGAGTTTGAAGTTACTGGGAGCTATGACACCATGACACTTTGTCCTAGAGATAGAATGAGACTCTGTCTCAAAAAAATAAAAAAGAGAAAACTAGTTTAACTGAAGGAGGTGGTCAGTGCAGGAGGCAGTCAGTGCAGGGAGGTGGCCAGTGTAAGGAGGCAGTTGGTGTAGTGCGGGGAGGTGGTCAATGGACAGGAAGTTGATGTAGGAGGTGGTCAGTGGAGGAGCTATCAGTGCAAGGAGGCAGCCAGTGTGGGAGGCAGTCAGTGGAGGAGCTGGTCAGTGCAGAGAGGTGGTCGGTGTGGGAGGCAGTCAGCCCTACTGGGTTTGGTCTGAGAGAACCCAAGATAGGACCTTGTGCAGGAGGACAGTTTACATTTCAGATGGCAACACTAGTAAACCACGCAGCTCTCACTGGGAAGGTGAGCCAATGACTTATGTAAAATACTCATTGGGGCCAACCAAACAAGGCCATAGACTGGTGAAAGTTTCCTCAGGGTGCTTTATTTCACTTACTTTTATACCTAGCTGTATAACATGAGGCTGTGCCATTAGGATTTAAGAAAGAAACAGCACAGTATGTTAAGATTTGGCCCAGTATGTTGGACGCTATGGGCACAGGTGGCAGAGGCCCATCCAGACTGGCTTAAACAGTGAAGGAGCAGAGTGAGAAATGCCTTCACCAATGACATCTGGGTGAGGCTTCCTCTGTCTACAGCAGTAGCTGTGATTTTTCCTCATGGTCACAAAATAGCTGCCAAGGTTGTCAGGGCAATGTGCGCCCTACTTACATTCAGTAGCCAAGAGCCTGTCCCCTTCGTGCTTTAACCCATTGAGAACACCCTGAGCACTTACTAGTCGGCCCTTCCTCGTGATTCACTGGCCAGAGTTGTGTCACCTTCCTATTACTGAACCACTAATTGGCAAAGGATGGGACAAACTTTAGAGCAGTTGTTCTCAACTAGGGGTAAGTTTGCCTCGCAGGTAACATTTGCTCATGACTGAGACATATTTGGTTGTCACAGCTGGGACAATATGCTGACATGGTGTGGGTAGACAGGGGTGCTGTTAACTACATCTATTCCGTGGACACAGAAATGGGACAGAGTGCACCTTGGGGGTCAGCCATAGTATCTGCCCGCCAGCCTCCCAGGGCCCCCAGAGCTTTGTAATAAGGTTTCATTTTGATAAAAGTACCAGAGGCCTTCTGAGAGTTTTTGCCTCATGTGTCCTCATGGACCTACCTTAGGTATATGTTGTCTTTGGAGAGCCAGGCCTAAGGGCATTGCTGGCGAGAGGGTACTGCCAAGGAATGCTGGCCAGACATCTGAGGAGGAAAAGCTCCAGCCAACACCATGAGTCTGGGCAGTACAGCAGTTCAGCACAGCAGCACTCACTGGGTGACATTCGGCAGGCTGATCAGCCTCTCTGAACCTCAGCCTTTCTGCCTGCTGGAGGGCTATGAGGTCAGATGGGATGTCTGGGAAGTGAGTGCCCAGCATGCAGCAGGCACCAACTCAAGTGTGTGCAGAGGCATGTTGTAGTATGTCAGGCTTCCATGTGGCCAGGGGACTGTGAGAAGCACTGCAGAGTATGAGCAGGGTACAGAGACTTAATGGTAGTAGAAGCGTGACCCCAAGAAGACTTCAAAAGGCCAGGTGTGGTGGCTCACGCCTATAATCCTAGCACTTTGAGAGGCTGAGGAGGATCACCTGAGCTAGAGCAAGACTCTGCCTCTAAAAATATCTGGGCATTGTGGCAGGTGCCTGTAGTCCCAGCTACTAGGGAGGCTGAGGCAAGAGGATCTCTTGAGCCCAAGAGTTTGAGATTGCTTACTTACCCCAACCCCAGGGTAACTGAGTGAGACTGTCTCAATAAATAAAAAAAAATTTCAAGGCCTGGCTGCAGGAAGGGGCCTCTTGGGCAGCACCTGACCTCACCCCCACTCCCAATGCAGCTTACAACTTAGGACCAGGCTCCACCTGAGAAGCCTAAGGCTCAGGCAGCCTGGGGAAGGCTGAGGGATAGCTAGGGGCCCTCTGGAGGGATGACTGGGAAACCTTTTCTTTAAAGAGGTCATCTGCTGCCTGTGTGTGTGTGTGGCCAGCCCCTCCCATGGGGCAGCACCCAGGCTAACTGCACCCCTCTCTTACAGACCCCATGATGGAGCTGACAGGCACTGACCCCTCTGAGCTCGACAGCCAGCAAGAGATGGAGGACTTTGAGGAAAACGCCTACACCTATGCCGGCGTGGACAGCAGTGCCGAGGCCAATGTCCTCACCGAACAGGCCATGAAAGAGATGGCCTACTACAACGTGCTATAGCACAGCTGGGCCACCCAGCAAGGGGGGTAGGGCTCCGGCTGCAGGCTACACCTCCTGCCACTGAGAAACAAGCTACTGCCCCAGCCCTAGCCCCAGCCCACCCACCCCAGCCGTTTGCACCACTAGGGACCTTTAGACCAAATGTAGACTGTGCTGCTGCCTGTGTACCAGGCCCAGGCCTAGGCATCCTAGCCAGGGAAGGGTAACACAGAGGCCTGGGCTGCTCTCCTTGGCTTGCTGCCAAATTAGGGTGGGAGCGATAGGGCCACTGGAGATAGGTTACAAAGGCACAGGTTCTCAGGCTGTCTAGGCCCAGCAGAGCCGCTCAGGGGGCTGACACTGATGAAAAGATCACTTGAACCCCACCCTGTTCTTCCTTGACTAGTTCCTGCCTCAGGATGTGTGAGCTCCCCTGCTAGTCAGCACTGCCCACCCCACTGGTGCAGGCCCCTTCCCCACCCTGTCCATTACAGCCAGGCAGGGCCTTCTGCCTTCTACCTCCCGGTGCCCCCCAATGCTGTCCTCAGCCTGGCCTGCGTTGTGGCCCCACCTGGCTGGCTGGACGGGGAGGGAGCCCAGCCCCTAGTTAACACGTCCCAAACCCCCAGAAGGCCCCTCTTCCACAGCCCTGTCTGGAAGCAGGTGTCCCTAAAGTCAATTCCCACAAATGCCATCCAGTTCTGCACTGAGCGGTAGCACTCCATCAGAACCACGCCACAAAGCAGGGCTCTCTGCCTTGCAACAGGCACACACTGACAAAAACAGGAGGAGCCTCTGGGGTAAGGGGGCAGGGCAGGGTGAGGGCACCAGCAGAAACAAAGAGGCACTGCCCTCAGGGGAGGCCAGGGACTACCTGTGGGGGAGGGGGATGGAAATGGCTTCTTACTAATAAATGCCCATCTTGAGGATGGAGTAGCTGAGTTAGCTGGTGCTCAAGAAAGAGCAACACATTTTAAAAGAAAGATGAAGACCATAGGGGTTTTTTTTTGTTTTTTTTTTTTTAGCAAATGGGGCTATTTTGAAGGTAATTTATTATTTTTTCCTTTCCAACTGTGTCACCTATTATCTTTTTTGATGGAGATGTATTTTCTTTTTCCAAATGTAAGCTCTCGTGTGCTGTGTGCCTCCCCCTGTCTACAGCAGCTTGACTGGGCTCAGTGGAGACACTGCCCTGGCCCAGAGCCCTTGGCAGGCTGGGTAGCCCTTGACCCTTGCCTGGCCCCCCCAGAGAGACTAGCTCTGTGCCACCACTAGCTGGCTCCCTGCTGGCCTCTGTCCTCCCTCTACTCCACACCAGCTCTGGCCCCTGGCACCAAGGACAGTAGTTCCCAGGCCCAGTGGTACAGCATGTTCAGGAACGCAAGGTCCCCGACTCCCACTCATTGCCTGCTGAGACTCTGGGGGAGAAGGGCAGGCAGGCCCATCCCCAAAGGTGCAGATGAAGCCACCAGCTTCAGCCCAAAAACCAGGAGGGGGACACAGCTGAAGAAGGGGGAACCAATTTGAAACAGCGACCCCCAAGGCTGTATCCTTAGATGAAGGACCAAGCCAGGCCTCAGAGTGACTGACTGTACAAGACTGAGGGGTGGACAAGGGGGCCCACATGTGGCTCCCTAGACTCTAAGGCCCCTCGGCCTCCCAGGTGCCCACCATGACAACCCTCAGGTGGCAGTGACCATGTCACTGTACAAGACATTTTCTCCTGCTGAGCAGAAGGCATCATCCCCTGCAAACTACCTCTTCCCACAAAGTCTTTCTTCCCTGGTACCAAAAAGAACCCTGTACCTCCTCCTCTCCCCTGCCAGCATAGTGGCCTCAGTCTGGAAACTAAGGCAGAAGGTCTAGCCCCTGGGGCAGGGGCTCCCCTTCCGTCCCCCACCCTGCCGTCAGCACTGCCCTCTGCAAGGTTCCATACTTGAACGCCCCCCTGCCCGTGCCTTGGACCTGGGCAAAGCTCAGAGGAACAGCACAACTCACAGTTTGAGCTGGGGTGTCTCAGCAAGGCCCTGTCCTCCCTCACCCTCCCCAGCCTTCTCAAGAGGGGCCTGCAGCCTCTCAGTGACCTGGAAACACCTGGATGAATTCCATTCTAACTTATTTTGACGTGTGTACAAACCAACTGTTTATAAATTCCACTTGTGCAAAGCCCTACTGTGTTTTTATGTTCCTGTTTAAAAGAGAAATTTACTTGGCAATAATTATAAATAAATGAATATTCTTTAGTGAGGTGACTGAAAAAGCTTCTTTCCCCAACTTTTGGGGAATTGGCCCCACACTGCAAGAGTCGCTCTCCAGGGCACTGAGGAAGGCTGAGACCATCCTCTGCATAGGAATGGCCACCTGGGCTCAGCGCCTATAGCTCAACCAGCTGAGGCGCCAGCCACGTACACCTA